TCCCCAAGGTCTGTTCAGAGTCCGCCTTCCGCCTCTCCTCTTCCAAGGCCTTTTCGGATTCCTTCAGAATTTCAGATGTGGCGTTTGCGGCGTTTGGGGTCAAAACATGTCACCCATGTTATCTTGGGGTCAAAGGCTGGTCAGTTGGTGTTCAAAAACAACCGGCTGTTCGTTGAACGGAAGTTGGTGCTTGAGTCATCCCGAGGGAGTTACAAACCTTCGAGGTGTCACAAAACCCCCCCATTTCTTGGTGAACAGCCCCATGTTTGGTGCTGGAATCACCACCAGGGATGATCTGAGCATCAACCGGCAACAAATCCTCTTGTCAGCCTTGCTGAGTTCTGTGCTGATAGATATCCCCGTTATCCCATTCTTCATGCCTAAATCCCATTTTGATGAGTAGATCGTCAATTTATCTCATCTTGTACCCCCACTAACCTCCCCCACGTTGAGCATTTCAAAAAAAGGAATGGGGGCCCTGAGTGATTGCACTCTGTGCAAATAAAGTCACCATTTTCTCTAAATAATGTTTCTTCTGAAGCATCAAAATCTTACAAGATGAAATGGATTTGTCTGAAAAAAATGGTTGGTTAATCCGCATGTTTCCCGTGATATTCTCACATCCCAAAATCATATCAGATCCCCAGCAAGATGGTAATATGCATAATCACCACTAAAATGGTTCAAATGTCATATCCAGAAACTTAAATCCCCCAAAAACCTCGCAGCAAATCATATCCGATATATTGATTTCCCATCAAAAAAATGCATATCCTCCGATAATTCAACATAGATGGAAAAACGCCCATATATAGATGATTTACCTACTGTATTAATGGTGATTCTACAATGGAAAGTGTTAAATTACCAGATGGCATATCCCATCAAGTGGATTATAATCCTCCCCATGTTCATGGATTATACTCCCCATTTCTTCGATGATTCACCACAATTTTATCATTAGTAACCACCATTAGATATCCATTGATGATTTTCCACAGCTTCGAGTGCACTTAACATCAGACACTTTACCCAACAGGTGCTCCAAGATTCTGAAGTTGGCTGATCACAAATTCTGTAGTGTCAGTCAAGTTACCAGTCAAAAATACCCAGATTGGAAATTCACATCCACACCAGTGATTTTAGGGTACCCTCCAGTAAACTAACATAGCTATGGAAAATGGACCATAGAAATAAATGATTTACCATAAATTACCCTGATTTACCATGATTTGCCATGATTTACCATGATTTACCATGATTTACCATGATTTACCATGATTTACCATGATTTACCGTGATTTACCATAAATTACCATGATTTACCATGATTTGCCATGATTTACCATGATTTAACATGATTTACCATGATTTACCATGATTTACCATGATTTACCATGATTTACCATGATTTGCCATGATTTACCATGATTTACCATGACTTACCATGATTTACCATGATTTACCATGATTTACCATGATTTACCATGATTTGCCATGATTTACCATGATTTACCATGATTTACCATGATTTACCATGATTTACCATAAATTACCATAAATTACCATGATTTACCATGATTTACCATGATTTACCATGATTTACCATGATTTACCTAGTAGCAATGGTGATATTCCACTTCGCAAACTGTTACGTGACCAGAAGCTAAGAAGGCCGTGATCGCTCCTTGGCGGCACGTTCCTTGTCCCGCTTCCTCGCTTCCTCCTGCGCCTTCGCCTTGGACGTTGAGAACAGGGCAACGACCACATCCCTTCCCAAGCGGGTTTATAGTGGGTTTATCATGGTTTATCTATATGGGGAGATACGTACTGGAAATTTATTATTTCATGGAAATGGGGATCTAATGATGATTTCAATCATCATTTAGCTGTATAAAGGGGATATCATGGGGAGTCAGTGGCCAGATACTGGGGACATTTCATGGACATATCATGGAAATATCATGAAATATAATGGGATAAATATGAAACACCCCCATACACCATGGTGGATATACGGGATGAAACCGCATCGTTTAGAGGGGGGGTGTTCAATATGAACGGAGGATGGATTGGTAAGATTTCTTGGAAATGTTTTGAAGTGATGGTTATAGTAACTGTTAGAAAAAAAGGATCAACATCGAGAGGGTAACTTAGAAAAGGTTAGATTTACCAGTATGATTAGATTTACCATTATTTGAGGAGCGTCTTACTAACTAACTTACTTTTCTTTTTGGGGTTGCTACAATTGATACTACATTGTAGGTAATGAATTGCCCCAAGAATATTGACCATATAAAGAATTTCTGAAGATAAAGCACACGGAGACGGTTGGTCATCTTAGAGATTTTTGGATGGGATGTACGAGGGATACCAAACACCAGGGCAGTAGTACCTACACAATCCTGTACATATGTATATATATATGTATGTATATGTGTATGTTGTGAATTCCAAAGCATTGCAATGATGTTCACTGACAAGATACGGGATCCTCCATGTTCACCACAATCCACAGTTTTCCTTTCAATGGGTGTTACCATCATGCGCTGTCCAATTCAGCAACTGAAGGCTCAGGGCCCCTTTCAGGTGAAGCGGTGGGAGGGATACCGTTGCTTGTCCGCCATTTGCTATAGCACAGGGTGCATCTAGGACGAGGCGTCCTCAAATTGCCGGCCTTGCATTTGCCATCTCATCGCCACTTACTTGTGGTCGCTGCCAAGGGGAAAAGTTGCGCTCACTTTGAGCTTTGCAGGTTCTTGGAGTGGAAGGGCTGCCAGTGTGATATCCCAATCACATTGGTAGCGAAGCTCCGCTGCCTGAGTGCGGAAGATCCAGGTCATTTTGACCATTGAGAGACATGCCTGAAGGTGATGGCGCCTCCTCAACAGGTGCCGAGACTGCCTCCATGGTCCCCAATCAAATAGCTGCCTTGGTTCCGACGTTTGACCCAGCAAAAGATGATCTCCAGGTATATTCTCAGAAAGTGATGCTGTTGCTTGACGCATGGCCTGCTGGGAAATACACAGAATTGACCACGAGGCTCATTCTGAATTGTTCTGGTTCGGCATTCATGAAGTTACAGTTACATCAATCTGAACTTATGGAGAATGAAAGAAAGTCGGTAAAACGCTTGGTGGAAATTCTTGGGGGACATTGGGGCCAAATTGGCCTTGAGAAGAGATATGAACATGCTGAACGAGCTCTCTACAGGTGCGTCCAGAAGACTGATGAATCAGCGGACTCATTTTTGGCCCGTGCAGACATCATGTGGACTGAGTTGAACAGTAAGAACATGAATCTCTCTGACTTGCAAGCCTATGTAACTTTGAGGGGTTCGACACTGTCGTCTGATGATAAGAAGAAAGTCCTTGTTGATGCAGATTCCGCCGGTACCGGAGAGTTGTCAGTTCAGAGAGTCAGCAGTGCCATTCGCATGTTGGGGGCCGGATTCTTCCAGGATGTGACAGGTGTGAAACGTGCCAAGCAAAAGACATACGATCAAGCTACCCTTCTCGCGGAAGCTGATGATGGTGAGGTCCACGATGAGGTCTATGCAGCTGAAGGTGAAGGGATGAATGAAGATGACTTGGTTGAAGTGTTGATGCAAGAAGGTGATACAGATGCGACGTTTATCACTGACTTCGAAAATTCTGCGACAGATCTGATCCAAGGGGATGAGGAGCTGGCTGCAGCCTTCAACACTTACTCTGAAGCTCGCCGCCGTTTGTCAGAGAAAGTCAGGTTTCGAGGATTCTGGCCAGTGTCTGCAGGTGGTAAGTACAAGGGCTCTCAAAAGGGCCGTGTCAAGGGAAAGTTTCAGAAAGGTCACTCATCTTCGAGAAAGTCACTGGAGCAGAGGATTCTCACCTCACGGTGCCGATTGTGCAACAAGTTAGGACACTGGAAAGCTGAGTGCCCTGAACGCAACTCACGATCGTCACAGCCTAGTGCCACAGCACCGACCTCCTTCGCCAGTGCCGATTCGTCTTTGCCGATGGAATTTCTGCACCTGCCCGAAGCTGGTGGTGAAACCATAGATGAACCTCAGACTCAAGAAGCAGTTGTTTATGTAACGGATAACTTGGATATTCGGGGTAAATTAAGGGTGTCCCTTAAGAATGTACAGTCAAAAGAATCCAAGCTTTGTTTCCGTCCTCCGATCATGCCAAGGAGTGAGATCATCGGGAAAGCAGCAGCTGAGTCGTTGTCTGATGCGACAGCAATGTTTGCCACGCATAGCAGTCTTGGGGTTGTTGACCTAGGAGCCACGAAAACCGTCATAGGAAGTGACTTGGTTGCCGAGCTGATCAGCAGTTTGCATCCGAGCATTCGCAAGAAGTTGCAAAGGTGTCCATGTCATATCACGTTTCGGTTTGGCAACCATGGCACGCTTCAAAGCGAGCAAGCGCTGGTAGTTCCTCTCCATGATTTGCTTTTGAAGATAGCTATTGTCCCTGGGTCCACACCATTCTTATTGTCCAACACGCTATTGAGAGCCATGCAAGCTGTTATTGACGTTGAGAAACATGTTTTGTGGTCCAAGAAGTATCAACAAGAGTATCCATTAAGGTTGACCTCAAAGGGATTGTTTTTGATTGATCTGAATGATTTGGCAGCCACCACGGCCGTGATTCCAAAGGGAATGCCTCCTGCTGAGACGCATGTGGCCGACTCCGAGCCGCCAAAACCCAAGTGCAGAGATCTCCAACCAGGAAGACTCCACTCAGAAACATGGTCATGAGGTTTCAGATGATCAGGGCTCATCAGGGGTAAGTGGAAATACTATGGAAACCAGAGTGGTAGGAGAGGCCGATGGAAAAAAGCCAAGTGGAAAAGAATCGCATCCGATGCCTTTTCAGCCAGTTCAAGAGTCATCCAATTCCGTTGCCGTCCGTGTCAGTCCACCTGATACGTCCATGTCGTCGTTGAGCCAACGCCTCCAGAAGTTGCAGGTGAAGGTGGTCGAGCCACTACCCGACGTGGCAAAGTACTCGATGCAAGAGCTCGACCAAATGAAAGTGGAGTTCGGAACCAAGCATTTTGGCCGAACCTTTTCCGACGTGTGGAACACAGACCAACAGTGGATCGCCTGGTTTGTGAAACATTACCAGGCCAGCACAAAGGGTGTCCATCGACTGATGATGCAGTATATCGAACTCAAGGTAGAAAGGGCGGAACTGGAAGGGGAAGTGATCAGCGTGCAGGAGCCAAGCCCGCAGCTCCATCAGAAACCTCCTACTGTGGTGTCTGGGAAACCGTGCCCGAGCCTGATGGCCAAGGCCAAAGCTCGTCCAGAAGCCCACACAGAGGTCGACGGTCTGACAGACTGGGACTTCGATGTGGAGGAGATGATTCAAGCGCAGCCCGACTACCAAAGTCTGGCCGATCGAATGGGGAGCTTGGAAAGTGCCGTCCAGTCCATTGTGAGCCACCTCGAGCAGATGGCACGTCATCAAGTTCCAGTGAGTGCTGCGGAGCCCAGTTTGCAGTAGAAGAATCTAGTCTGGAAATGTTAGGTCTGTTGGCAGCAGGTGATCCATGTGAAAGCACGTATCATGATCAGAAATGGGAAACACACACTTGCCGAGAACGAGAAAAGTTTGAGAAGTTGGTAAGACAGTATTCCAATGAAATTGATCAGGTCATCCATGCCAACTCCCAGCAATCCAAGCCATCCTGCCGTCTGAACCTCTTGGAGGTATTTTGCGGTCCCAAGAGTCAACTGACTCACCAAGTGCAACAGTTGGGTCACAAGGCCGAACGACTAGGTTTTGAACAATGCGACTTGCAGACCATGGAAGGTAGAAAATTGTTGTTTGAAACGGTAGTTCAGAAGAGACCCGAGCACTTGTGGTTTTCTCCATCCTGCGGTCCATGGTCAGGATGGTCGACCCTTAACGGCAGTAAATCCATACAGGCGTGGGATGAGTTGCAAGCCTCCAGGATGAAACACCTCGAACAAATTGCCCTGGGTGTTGTACTCATGCGATGGCAGAGGGCTTGCGGTCATCATTTGCATTGGGAACAGTCCCAAGCTTCGTTGATGTTCAAGCTGCCGTATCTCAGGGAAATCCACCAACATACACTTGCAGTGGAATTTGACATGTGCACGGCAGGGGATTTGAAAGACCCACAAAACGGAAAACACATCAAGAAGGGTATGACAGTGTTGACCACGTCACCAAGGGTTGCTGACAGTTTGAAGAACAAGAAATGTAAGGGGCACCATGAACATCAAGTCATCGAGGGGACTACTGTGAGGGATCACCAAAGGATAAACCGCTCTGCCTTTTCGGAATCATATCCCCGAAAGTTTGCCAGAGACCTCGCCAAGGTGTTATGTAAGCTTGTTTATCCCAGGGAAGCTCCCATAGAAACAGTCATGTTCACACAGGATGCCCAGGCATATGTCAATCAGCCAGCCCTGAAGAGACGCAGATTGATCACTCAGGCCAAGCCGAAGATAGCCAGGTCATCGGAAATGACCGCTGACATGCCTGTGAAACAACGGAAACTGCATGGCAAACAAACATCAACGTCGGCGCTTGATGCATGGACTCAAGTGTTTGACAGAGTGGACAGCAGTCTCCCTAGGGTAGGTAAGCAAAAACTTGAAAGCCCAGAACTGTTGTCAGAAATCCAAGCACTTATGCCAGACAAAGAAGTTCGTTTTGCCATAGCCTGCAGAGGGTCAGACCGCACCATTGCCCCTCCACCAAATACCATATCACTGGAAGCACCATGGAGAAAATGTGCTTTTCTGAAAAGGGGTACCACAAAAATTTATGTTGAAGACCAATGGGAAAACTGGTCGGAATTGTCCCAGCGCCAAAGAGTCCGTCCTTCACATGCTTGTCGAATCAATATAACGGTGTTTGCCTGCAATCCCGAAGTCAATGCGAATGCCAGAGGATCAGAAGAATCCTCTCCGTCGGAGCTCAAAGTTCCCAGTCCGAGCCCGCCGATTGCAGCCGAAACCGAAATCCCTGCCGACCAGCCGGATGGTCCACCAGGACCGCCTAACCTGGAACCCCAAGATGAAGCCCCAAAAGCAAATGATAACCTCAATTTACCACTTGATAACCCTACCACTGAAAACTCCCACATGCTCACGAAGAATCTTCAATCAAGTATTCCCAATAACCTCATGCCAGCAACTGTCCCAAGTCACGAATCCGTAGAAAGCCTTTCCAAAGAGGATCAGCAGATGTTGGCAAAGATTCACAAGAATCTCGGGCATCCAAGCGCCGAGAGGATGAGCACAATCATGCTGAAACAGGGATTTCGTCCCGAAATGGTCAAAGCCGCTCGGAATTACCAATGTTCGGTGTGTATCCAAAATTCCCAACCAAAGAATGCCAGACCAAGCTCACTGAAGGATGATTTGGATTTTAACGACCGGATATCCGTAGATGGCCTCACTTGGACCAACAAAAGGGGACAGACATTTCACCTGTATCATGTGATTGACTGGGCAACGAACTTCCACATGGCTCA